TCCTGAAAACCCTAAACCGTGAACCCTGCTGTTGGACGAGCCTGTCGTGCTTTCAACTCGTCGCCTTGGGGCTTGAAGCTCTGAATGAAAGCTTGGCCTGGCAATGGGGTTATGGGATCCAAGCAATGCGCTGGGGAGCTTCCCAAATTGGATTTGGGGGCTTATAGGTTTTGGGGTTAAGGGTTTAAGGTTTAGAGCTTTATAGGGGTTATGGGATACCTTTAAAGGGGGATATAAGGGTTATGTAGGGATCTATAGGCATATATACGGTTTAGGGTTTCCTGAATTAAGGCTATTTAGGGGATATACAGGGGATATATAAGAATACTGGAAAAATGGAATCTACTATGGTTTAAGGATTGGGGCTGAGGTCTAGGTTCACGCTATAACAATTCGGGTTTAGGGTTTACGGCTTGTAGAGTTTGGGGTTTACGGTATAATTACGACAATAGTAAGAATGATAATGATACTTGTGATAACAGTAGTAGTAATTATAGCCATGGTAGGAATTAAGCTCGAAAAATGAAGAATGATAATAACTATACTAACAGTGTGAAGCATAATGCTAATACTGAAAGGACTAATAGTAATAACGAATAGAAAGGTTGGCCTGGCAACTTGATCCTGCCATTGCTGCTCTTGTCGCCCATTTCAAAAGCACCGGCAGCAGAGAAGCCATAGCCACTGCTGAACCCCGTGCCCCTGTCCTTGAACACGCAACGCATGGAAAGCCCTGAGGTGGACATTGAAATTGAACTTCCGGCATCGCAATCGCAGACGTCGTCAAGCATCAGCTTGCATAAGGAAAATCCCTCCAAAAGGCAGTTGATGAAAGCCTTGATTTGTTCCCATGCTTCTTTCGCCAAGCCGACGGCTAAAGCACCAACCTTCTCCACACCGTCACCAATAGCATTCGCTGCATCCACAATCCGATTTCCGAGGGCACTCCCCACCTTTGCCCCTTGCTGCACTGCAAACTCTGCTACTTCAAGAGCATCACCTGCAAGATCCACAGCCGAATCCGCCACGATCTCGCCAACATCAGCTACGAAGCTGCCGGTTGCGACAACAGCATTTCCTGCAACTTTGAATTAGATCAGATTACAATAAAAAGGCTGTATGCAGTATACACTACAGAATGTTATTTCCTTGTCTTATTACCTATGAAACGTCTCAAACAACAAACAGCCCAGTTTCCAAAGGTGGAAGCAGCATCCTTGATTTCATTGGGCAGAGCATCTACGGTACTCTCTGCGGCCTCAACCACGGAGTTTCCCACCACGGTCGCCGCATTGCCTACCGCACTACCCACCGTCAAACCAACATCTGCGATGCCTTCTCCGATGTCCTCGAAGGTGTCGCCCAAATCTTCAAAGCCATCTCCGATGGATTCAAAGCCGTCTGCAATGTCATCAATGAACTTGGACGAGACGCTGGTATCCAAACTCGCTGAATCGGAACCTTCGACACGGGTGACGTGGTCATGGAGGGTTAAATCCAGGAGGAAGAACAAAAATGATCGAACAGGAACAAACAGAGTCAGCCGCGAAAGCCAACTTCATCACTCATTTGTGGGTTGCTTTGAGGCCTTCAGTTTAAGTCCTAACCACCATCCATAATCATAATAGTCGGTTTGCTAGAATACCTGTAAAGTCCTGATCATGGCTTGAGAACCTTTGACAGCAAGCCAGTCATCCAGGATCTTAGGGTTTACCTGTAATCCCAATTGCCGATAAATCTATGAGATACACCAACTACATAGGGGGTAATTGCTAATAAGCTGTATGTAGTTGGGGTTACAGGCACAGGGCTTAGTGCAAGCGAGAAGCGATTAAGCTTACGGCTTCTTGCACGGGTCATGAGAGCAAGCTTTGTGTCGGCCACGGGGGAGCTGGGAACCGTTGGGCTGGGAGACCCCGGAGACCCATGCTCGGATCCATCCACCTGAGGGCTTAGGGTTTAGGGAATGGGGATAGTACAGTAAGCAGGATGATAGCCGGAAGGTCTACGACACGTCAGTAATTATATGCAGGGGCACATTTTTGAAAGTCAAATGCTCTCAACCTGGACCCAAGCTGAATCCTGCCTCCCTGCACGTTGTCAATCGACCCTTTCCGCTTCTGTTTTTGAAGCCACTTTTCCGACTCCACCTCTTACTTGTTTATGCTGCACATGGCTTTTTCAAACCTCTTTTTCGTCTGGGTAAAAGAGTTAAGGGCTTGGGGTTCAGGGTTTTCGGGCGGAAAGCCTGCGATCCAGCCAGGTGCTTTTGTAGGAGAGATGAGCCTGGGCACTTAGAGGTATTATAGAAAACGATCATCTTTAATCTACATTGCAAACAAAAATGTAACATGTTGAAATCCTAAACCCCTCAACCCTAAACCCCTAAACCCTAAACCCTAAACCCCTAAACATCTAGAACCCTAAACTTCTCAACCCCTAAACCCCTAGACCCCTAGACCCCTAAACTTCTCAACCCCTCAACCCCTAGACCCCTAAACCCAAAACCCCTCAACCCCTAGACCCCTAAACCCCCTGAACCCAAAACCCCTAAAACCCTAAACCCCTGAACCCCCAAACCTTAAACCCCTAAACTTCTCAACCCCTAAACCCCAAAAAACCCTTAACCGTGGAACCGAGGAACTGCGGGAGGCTTCAGCCTGGCAGGCCGACGGCTCTGCAGGCCCAGCTGCGCTGGCAGCTGTCAAAAGTAGGTGGCCTAGATGTTTTGTTGTGGGATTCTTAGAGATCTTAGGGTTTGGGATTGAGGGTTTTTGAGGTTTGGGGTTTAGGGTTTTGGGGTTTAGTGCTTAGGACTCAGGGTGTAAGGGTTGGTTCTAGTTCAGGGTTTAGGGTGAATAAGGCTGAGGATTTGGTGTTTGGGGCTCTTGGTTTCTGGTGGACTGCCCAGGGCACGAGAAGCTTGAGCTAGAGAAACCCAGAAACAGGAGACCGCAAATTTCCTCGATTTCACCACTTCATGAACTATCTCCTACCTATCAAAAGCCCAGTGGCAACAGATAGTGATCCATTGCAATGGCACCATGGCGCCAGCAGTAAAACCGAAAGGGAAGGTACGACCATTGAGCCGGTATGCTGCTATTACTTCAGAAGTACACCACCGCAAGACTCCTGAGGAGCTTCAATGAAACCAAACAAGAGAGGCAGCAGACTGATCATTCATCGGACTCGGCTTCCAAACTTGCAAATGGATTCCGTACACCTCTGTATGACCCTATACACGTCCCTAATGTTGGTTCATACACGTCCCTGATGTTGATTCAGATTAGGGTGAAGCTACTGGATTGCGGAAGCCACCAACCATGACATTGAGGATGTCTGGGGACTAGCAGTCAGAACTCGGGTAAACATCAAAAGGCTGTAAAGGGGAACCAGCAACCATTCGACAAAGACTGAAGTACAGCTACTGTTGACTGTTGGGCGCAAACAGCACCTAGCCGAATCTGCCAGCCAAGACCGTGGTGAAGCTACTCTGGCATGAAAATTATCAAAAAAACCTGTCCACAAGCTTTAACTAAAGCTACGAATACGACCGAACAACTGGGGCTTGCCATCTATAAGAGCCATCCTCTAAAATCCTCCTAGCTTGAAGTAGAGACACACCAACAATATGGGATGCATATTGCTACCAAAAAACTCCGCGGTGGCAATCAGCCAATCACGTTTGCGCCTGAACTCTGAACGTACGCTCTCTACATGATGCGAGATAAGCTGTATTTTCCCAAACCTAAGAACCAGTCTGGAGATGTGAACAATCCGCGGATTTGCCAAACAGTGTCACTGCCCATGTACAAAACGGGTGGGCATGCCCAGGAGCAGCCTGAATTTAGTCAGCAGGATGGTTTGGCAGGCGCGCCGAACGCCCGAGGAGCACTTCAGTCTACAGCTTGTCGTCCAAGTTCCTTCACAAAAGCTAGAGCGCGGAGCAAGAAATGTAAAACGTCGACGCCCACGGGCAAATCTCTCAAAACGTCGAAAATCTCCGACAAACGCCTGGAGTACATTAATTTTGGCCCACAAAGCCATGCCATCTTGGCATCAAGTTCAGGCGCGGCCCCGGCACACGCAGAGGATTACGCGGGATCTTGCGCAGGCACAAAATCATTTAAACTTTTGGCGGAGCATTTGGCGGAGACTGGCACAAACCACTAAGAATCTTTTGCGGAGGCGATTTGTGGAGAATCGTGGAGAATTGCGGCGCGCCTGCTTTAGGCAATTTTCAGCGAACAATTACCCACAGAGTCTGCTAAAGTTTTTGCGGGCCGTTGAAAAAATGCCATGCTGCACGCTTTGGGTTTCTTTGGGCAATTCTCAAAGCTTTCAGGCAGGAAAAGACTCACAGGGAAAAGGGGATCACTGTCTGAAACGCAGTAGGAATAATAGTAATAAGAATAAAACGGTAATAGCGTTAACAAATAGTAATAGCAAGGATAGCAATCTGGGTATAGCCCGTAGCCTCGATTTCCAGGTTCCAAGTTAATTGATGTTAAACCCCCCTCAACACTCCCTTATATTAAATACTCCCAATATGCTAAAATGCAACATCATGGGAGTATTTAATCTTAGGGGGGGGGGTTTAATATAGGGGGGAGGAGGGAGTACGCTGAATTGCCTTCATTCCCTTCATGGACTGGCTGCTCCAGGAAATGTTGGCTCGGACCAACGGATCATATGCCTCACAACCTATCACCAAGCTGAAGGTATTTGGACCTGCCACAATGCTGGCCTACCCTCGACCGTGAGAGTAAGTATCTCTACCATGTGCATGCCGGGCGATCCAAATCAATTCCTGGAAGGAAAGCTTTTTAACTACGAAACACTTCCTGCTTTAGTTGAAAGAGCCGTTGCGCATCCTCATGTTGGTGCTCATATTCAGATTGCGCACATTGAAGGGCTTAGTTTTTGGCAGGCAAATTTGTGCAGCGTTCGTCTGCCATGGCAGCGCGAGGCTTTTAAAATTCCAACTGGCCCGTAGTCAGCAGGGCAGGATAAAATGAGTAGTCCAAGATAACGTCAGAATTGTTGTCCAAGCTGCACCAAGGGCCTGTCGAAACTGAGATGGAAACTCGTATGGCCTGCTGCCAAGAATTCTTAAATATTCCCAACATCCACCCTTATTCTTGGCCGCGGCTCAAGAGAAAGTCTCCGAGAATAATCAAAATAGGGGAAGGGCACCTTACTGAGGCCTCTTGCTCAGTTAGCGTCACCTCCAACGGATTAATAAAATCAAATGTGCTGCGAATTGGGGAGGAGATGGGGGCAGCCGACACAATAGGAATCAAATACACCAGGATAACGCTGTGTTGCCTAAACAATTGTCGGCTTTGAGCCTTTTGACATCATGTTTCGCATCCTTTCACATGCTTCGCTTCAGCATTTTTGGCGGTGGAGGGCTTGATTGTACTCCGCCTTTTACTCCTGATGGATGCTCTCACCTCCACCGCAATCCAAACTCAAGTTGGCCTCACCATGTACATATGTACACAGTCTTTGTGTGTGTGTGTGTGGAGATGTTTCATATAGCCAAGAAGATTTCTACTTCACATGCTGGGGCTCCTTAAACGACTCTCAAGAAGTATTTTTGATATCTGATGTCTCTAACGCCCCTGTCAAGGGTTTAGTCAGTAGCTCAGTTCACTGCGCGGGCTGCGACGCGCAGCTTCAATCGTTCGCCTTAGGGCTGGTGAGGTGTGAACATTCTAGCATCACATACTGATGAGAACCCTACACCAAGTAAAACTGCAAATGAAGAGGCATGACATCAATTTTACAACCCAACATGACAGAAGCATCTAAACTGCAACAACAGTCGCGTTGGGCTGAAATATTTACACGAACTAAAGGTTCGCACAAGATCAGCAAAATAGGTTTATTGTACATCAGGGAACTGTAGGTTACACTGCCCAGGTGAGTTTAGGGCACTTTTCTGCCAAATAACCATGCAGGTACGTATGCCTTATCCCAACACAACACTTTTCAATGCGCAACTGAGGTACACAAGTAAAGATAAACTTGGCCCTGGCTTCCGCGCTGTGCGATGTCGAGCACGGAATTGCCCATGTCCTATACTCTTTCTGGGACGCCCTTTGAAGCTTCATGTTTCCGTTGCTCAGAGTGTAAAGGAACCATCAAAAACACAACTTCCAAATAGCATCCAGAATCATTCTTCCAGCTGGCCCAAACATTTTGTTTGAACTCCTCGCCGAATTCAGGGTGTTTCTCGCCGAAGAGCACCAAGTATTTCACCTAGGTTCTTGTGCAAGGTTTACAGTCTGTGGTCCTAGCTAGGCTTTGGATGTACCAACATGTTACAACCTTGTGACAACTTAAACATCACCAAGCATGAAATCACATTTCTTAAGCAAAGACTAAGTCGCTACGTCCACCTGGTCATAGGCCGCCGCGAGGTGGAATAGGGAGTTGTTCTGAGAGTCCCTGAACCTGGGTTTGTTATAATAATGGTAAAAGAAATACTAGTACCAATAAGAGCAATAGAAACAATAGTAGTAATAATAAGGATGGTAATAACAATGATGCTTGTAACAAAAACCTGGTAGAAGGCGGCGCAAGGCTGCTTCAAATGTGAAAGCTACCTACACTGCCTGGATAATTTCTATTTATGGGTGTCCCAAAATTGGGGGTACCTTTTTGGGGGTCTCCAGAATAAGGATTGTAATATATTTGGGTCTATATTGGGGTCCACCTATTTTGGGAAATTACTAATTCTTCCCGTTTTACAAGCGCCACGCAACTTGCCTGATACCAAAAAATAACGGTTGACTCATATGGCGTCAGAATTCTTCAACTGTCAATGCTGCACGTGCTTTCTGGAATCCTCACCAACATGATGTTGAACATACGCTGCCATGGTTTCTCCACTTCCCATTAATGCACTGTGCAGCGACATGTCAGGCAAACCTTAAGTCTAGTATACCAAAATACTATCTTGTTTCTTTTTACTACAGAGTAATCATTATAGACAGGTTTACCCAACAAACCTCCAAAACACCGCACGTCCGCGCCCAGCACGCAAAGCGCGGCCAGCGCTGGCACGTGGCCCATACCTGAAGGACGAAAGGAGGGCTTGAGGTTAAAAGTTTGTGCATGCAAGGATCCTTACTAGCTCGATGTAGGGTTGCGGGAAAAGTGCTTCAGCGTGTTCTTCCATGGAAGAGGAGTGCTGCCTGGCAAAGAAAAAGCACAACATTGGTGTTGTTTGTCGTGAAGAGTTAAACAGTATATCGGATTTCTACCAGTAAATCAATGTTGGCTGGAGCAGCTGAAACATGTGCTTGGTGTAAGGGTAGCCGCATGAATAATGCGGCGAACAATGCTATTGGTTTGCTATAGAAATTAAGGGGATTTTGCTAACCCCAACCCCCAAAATTAGGACCTTATGACCATCATATGATAGTCATAGGGTCCTAATTTTGGGGGTTGGGGTTACCAAAATCCCCTTATTATTGATGCTAAATCTAATTTCAACTTCAGGCTCCTTTCTGGGTCCTCAAACCCTTTGACAGATATTCCTATGTAGGGTCCCCTATTAAAGCCATTATGGAAAACATCAATCCCAGGGGCCTACTCAGCACTAAGCGTTTCCCATTGAAACACTTTCTCTGCCCATTTGGGCGTCCAGGTGGGCATCTCAAGTTCATCTGAGCTACAGTCTAAATTCCTAGTATCCACCTTAATTACGTTTAGGATCTAAACTCCTTAAATCGAGTTATATAGGGGGTTGTATTGGGGCTATAGGAGTCTCTAAGGGGGATATTAACATATGAGCTATAGTCTGAACTCCTAGTATCCCCCTTAATAGCCCCCACAATACTCCCGCATACAATTATATAACCCCCTTTAAGGATTTAGACTATAGCTCATACTATCTGGGCTTCTAATACGTACATGTCGCATGTCCATTAAAGGTTCCATCTCCTACAGTTTCGTGCAAGGAATTCTTTGTTTTTTTCTTGAATTCCACCTTGGGGAATCCTGATGCTGAAGCAGTCGTCTCCTTTGAGCCTAGACACCCTTTAACTCTGGCTCCACACAAGCCTCCTGAAGACCTGAAGCTGAACTGGAGCACATCAAGTCTGCTTTCGGCCCCGCGAACGATTAAAAACACAGCCAATTGATAGTTGATCTCTGCTGATTTTTGTTCAACTCTGGCGACTCCGCCAATGTTGCCTAGCTGCTCCTGATTCACACACCTCCTGACAGCCTTTCAAAAAGAGTCCCCGCAACTTACCCAGTGTATGGGTTACAAAAGTGACTTTTGGCCCGGCCTGCTGCATACGCTGCTGGCGTCAGTCCCTGGTCGTCCAATGAATTCACATCTTCTCCTTCTTCCACCCTCTCCCCCATCTGGTTGATGTTGCCTTGGTGTAAGGGGAGGCTTGTGAAAGGACCTGCAAAAAAAATCCTTTCCCCACAAGCGAGAGGAAACTAGACACACAACATGATGTTTAGCCCTTCAGCTTCCACTTGGCGAGGCATTATCGCAATAACGACACACAAGACTTTGGGTGTGCAAAGCTGGGCTCTCCCTTATATACTCTCACAGCATACATCCTCATTATAAGGGGTTGGTTCCTTGACAGGACCACCAAGTTTTGGAAACGTGAATGTGAATTGTAAAGCCCAAGGCCTGTCTTGGCAGCCATGTGCAGGCTTGGAAAGAAAACCTCGTCGAAGTTGCCTTCTGGAAACTTTCCTGGGTCATTGCTGACAGAATTGCGGAAAGAAAATTTGTTCTGCGGGCCTAAGTATTCATGAAAACAGGAAAATTTTACTTGAAATGGACCCAACTCCTGTTTCCTCAAACACAGCGAAGTGTGGGAACTCCTTTCGAATCTCCTGAAGGGAGGCCCCATAGCACCTTCTCCTCTTGACCCTGCTTGGAGGGTCAGGAAGATATCTTCCAACTACAAGCGTTTTTAAACAAACCCTGTTATCCACATTACCAACCTACTTACTATCCGTCCCTGACCCTCCAGAAATAATCTACGTGATCGCACATACAAACTGCTCGAGCATCGCAAAGCTAGCTGATTTTGCACCACACCTAAAAATCCATGCCTGAAAACAAGACTTCTGAGTGCCCATGTAACTCTGATAAAATGCATGCCGAAGCAAACGAAACAACAGAACGAGAGCTTAGACGCAACGGAATCTGTAGAAGGAGACAGCTGTTGCAGCAACAATCAGGCAACGCTAGCTCTAGACTGCAACAGTCGTGTGCCTCGGCCAACAACGCTAGGCATCTACAATCCCAAATGCTTCGAGTTGTGTTCGTTACATGTAGATTATTGCACAAATACCCTGTAGTTTCCTTAGACCTATAATAAGAATAATCTTTCTAATATTCCCTTAGGGTTATACTATAATATACATCTAATTCCTAAGGACAGTACAGTACCAGCAAGATTCTGTACCCAAGGACTGGGTATTTGGGTGCTAAGGCTGGACCCAAGCCTCTGACCCTCCCTGCCCTGCTTCTTGGGCCCACCCACGCTCCTGAATCGCAAGCTCCTGCACAGAAACTCATTGAGCCCCGTTCTCGACTGGATTTTGTGTGGCTCAAGGAAATGTTGGAGTTGTTCCAAAGGTTTGGAATTGCAAATTGAATTATAGTGTATGACTCCAGTTGTTTCTTCTTTCAAGGGTGACATGACCAACAGCAAGCGAGCAATCCATCCCAGCGCAAAATGAATGTGCACTGTACAGGACACTCGGACATGTTGTTGCCCCAACTAGGAACGTCATCAAATTGAAGGAGCTGGAGAAGGGTGGACCCTGCGTTTGGTGTGGTTTCACTCTTGCATACCAGCCTCATGCTGTTTATGCTCACTTGCAGGGAAGGCATCAATCGACCTGTTTGAAAACTTGTGGTAGGCTGTCAAGGCTATGATCCTTTTTTGGGATTCTCACCCTCGTATGGCCCCTAGTATCTAGAGTGCCCTAAAAGCGGACAGTCATTGAAGCTACCAGTGCAAACAATCACCATCATCTACATCCACCAGCCATGTGTGCAACAAACCCCATGTTCCTTCGTTTTTCATCGCTGAAAGAAGCATTGTCGTCTATTCTCAAACTCCTTTTATGTCCTGGGTCCAGATGAGAACAGGGGCCTGGTGTGTTTTGTAAATACCACATCAGATGCCGATGAGTGAGTCTTAAGATCGTGTGTTCCCTGACCAACCTCAAGAATAACACTTTCCAACAGCATAAGGCTTTCTCTATAAACACCGAGGGCTCCCCAAACAGGCTCAATGTTTCGAAAACCAAGCTTGCCTTTGCAGCTACAGACCCCTGCGCAATCTACAAGGAAAAAGCATCGGGAAACTGAACTATAGTCTAAACTCCTAGTATCTTCCCTAATTGCCCCTATAATACCCCCTCATATGATCCCCTATGTGAAACCCCGTTGGGAAACGAGGACGTTTAAAAATGAAACAGCAATTGCCTGCCTGCTCCACAGCCCTGATGCCATAGGTGGCCAGGTAGTAGACCGAGATGACCTGCTTAGGGTTTAGGGTTCAGGCTCCCACACCCCCCCAATGCTAAACAGTCCCAGTTTACTATAATATACCACATAACGAGAGTATCTAACATTATTGGGGGTGGGTGGGTTCAATATTCGGGGGAGGGGATTACTTTGCATGGAAAAGCCTCCAAAAGGCCTGGGATGGATTCTTGGTGTAATAAGTGTATGGGTCCCTTTAAAGGGGTTATATAGGGATTATATGGGGATAATGGAAAAGAAAATGGAAACTACTATTTAGGGTTTAGGGTTGGGATGGATTCTTGGTGTAATGAGTGCAACATAGTGGAAACTTTGCCCAGCAAACTCACTACCTTACAAGACCGTGCTCGTGACAATGGCTACTGTCAAGAAGTTATGCTCACATGTGCAATTCCCTCTTATCTAAACCCTAAAACCCTAAACTGTAGTTTCCATTTTCTTTTCCATTATCCCAATATAACCCCCATATGAAACCTTAAGCCCTAAATCCTAAAACCGGGGGTAAACCCTGAACCCCAAATCATCCCAAGCCTCTAGCCTTAATCCCCAAACTTGAGCACCAGCAGGCCTGAGGCAACTCCAGCGTTATCCACAAGCTGATCAGCATGCCGAAGGCTGAGCCCCAGTTTAGCTCTTCTTTCTTCCTTGGACTTCAAGGGTTGTGCTGAGTACCAGCTCACACTCTTTGGCCAAAAAGAAGCAAATACCTTTCTTGGGAAGGGGTGAAGGTTGAAACTCCGAGAATTCCTTGCAAAGCGGATAAAAACTGCACTAGAACATAACATGACGTGTTACCCTTGTCCGTGCATAGCAGGTAACTTTTATTTCGCACGTATCAGAGGGAAAAGGTAGCATCCGACCCAGGCACCTCAGCACTGGCGACAAATTTATGCTCAATAGGATGGCTGGCAAGACCTCAGCGCCAAAGAACACCGAAAACAAAATGTTGAGGTTGGACTTCTGGGATATTTGCTGGTGGTGAGGGTAAAACGGAAGAGGGAAGACAAGTAATAATTTTCACTACATAAGGATCAATTTCGGGATCCAAGCTTCTACTTCCAGAAAGGTGCCGCTAAAAATGTCAAACTCTTTGGAAAGGGTCAGTGGGGCTTCGAACTTTGTATCTGGGCAGGTGTCGGCACAAAGCGGCAAAACTCTGAGCCCAAACCCCTACAGCGAGCAAACTCCCGCAACTATTGATGGACATGTACCCTTATGCCAAGCCCGAATGCTGGGGGCCTGCAGTACCTAATAACATAAATCAGTTAGCACGGTCACCACGCAAATTAAATCAGTACTCATTGCGACTTTGCTACCAACTGGCGCAGCCAAATGTTCCAACCTTCGCTCGTTGCCAAGTCAAGGGTCACTTTCTTCGAGCCTCCTCTAACAAGGCTTGATTGTTTATGGGATATGTAACGGGACCCAAGATGTCAACAACCATCATTCAGCTGCAACTTGTTAGTGTCCACAAGGTCCTTGTATACCACCATTCAAGTATAGTCCCCTCGGAAGCCACCATATCGGTTCCCTCTTCCCTTGCCAACCTAAAGCAGTCTTGAGGGCGCAACACGGGACCAGTATAAAGCATCAAGGGCAATTCGCAGAGCCACTACCCAGGAAGAAACAAGGGCCTTCTGTAGTCATGCAAGGAAGCAAAAGATACAGGATTCATAATCAAGATCAAGTCAAGTTTTTTGTATGGGGTGCTGTGCGAGCAGGCTTGTGACTGCAACCTACACGTTGCTTATGAACATGGTGGGGTTTCTGAAAACAGGGTACTGAGGTTGTAGGTATATGTAGGCATTCGCGAAAATTCTGTGGGCCCACCTTCAGCCGAACTGTACGGGGGTGGTATGCAGAAATCAGATGTAAAACTTGAAAGCAGGCAGACGTCATGTGCGGTTGCTGAGACAGTAGAAACCAGATAGGAGCCACGAACCCGAATGCAGACACGCGTCACGTACATGCAATGATAATAGCACCCCACGGGCGAAACCACTTAGGAGACTTAGGTCCGGGGTCATCCCTTTCTCCTCTTTCTCCTCCTGTCTCCTCTCTCCTCTCCTCTCTCCTCTCCTATCTTCTCTCCTATCTCTTCGCTCCTCTCTTCTCTCCTCTCTCTCTTCTCTCCTCCTCTATCTCGTAACCTCTCTCTCCTCTCCTCTCTCTCTTCCCTCCTCTGTCCTCTCTCCTCTCCACTCTCTCCTCTCTCTCCTCTCTTCTCTCGTCTCTCTTCTCTCCTCTCTTCCCTCCTCTCTCCTCTCTCCTCTCTCCTGTCTCCT